TTACTGAATTGGCAAACTCTGGAGAAACTTAGAGAGTTCTTATCTCTAGTTCAGTGCTACAAGATAGTTTTTGGAATAGACAGCCTTTCTTTTTTCGGACTTTTTCGAGCCCACCAAGTGTAGCAAACAAGAGCCAATCACGATTATAAACTTCATGTCAAAGTTTTCACTCTATATTGCTACAAGTATTGCGTACGGATCGTTAATGTGTGGAATAACTTACCTAAAGAATCGAAGTTGTACATGCAGGATCGTTGACTTTATATATTTCGCACCAAATTGAGGATTTTTATGCCGTGAATATTAACTAACATAATTGTAAGCAGTTACGACTATGATATGTAAATAATTGTTTAGATTCTAGTTTTTAGATTTTACATTTTTTATCTTTTACTTTGGGGAGTCACTTACATAGGGTTAACCTCAATAGTCTCCCCTTTTGAAAAGTATTTCCTTTTTCTATCTTATCTCTTGAATAAAGTATAGTCAGTATATTTAGCAATTAATGAATGAGGCTGAGTAGGATATGAAGAATTATGCAGATCGAGGAGGGTGTTATCACCTCCGAGATATGCATAATTTTTTTTAGTATATAGCAAATTTCGAGAAAGGTTGTCGGAAAAAATGTGCACGCGACAATCCCGAAAGGTAATATGGGATATGATCACCTAATTTTGTTGCTTTCTTTTAGCACTCGCAAACATACGTCCATGCATGGCCTCTCGTGTAAATACCCACCACTAGCCACCTCCACTTCGGTGAATAATTGTTATATATCCTACGAAAGCCGAATTCATTACTTGCTTAATTATTCATTCAAAATACCGTAATTCCTAGTTTAAGAACAAGCTAAAACATGCTTACCTTCGTAGATGTTAAGTTCACCTCGATAGAGCATGTTCAGAAGATAAAAGGCTGTTTAGGTCTGCAAGTATACTCCAAATGGCAGATGTTGTCTGTCGAGTTGTCTTCTTGCTAAGTTTCTAGACAATAGTTCGTCGTGAAACGAGTAAAATGTTCCGCCGACTGTTCAGCTAGCAATTTTTCTTTTCACAGCCAAAACACAACTCAACCTCGTAACACAGATCTACTCGGTTAACGGTGCATTAACCTGCAACTGCGCTGCAATTTTGACTTCATCGGTTGATTAATCGCAAAATTCTTCCAAATTTGGTCAACAGTAGCTGGTTATGGGTGTGCTTTTAGCCAATCAAAAACAGAGAAATATTTTGAATGAATAATAATATTTGTTATTATAATATGACCAAAAATATTAATTGTTCTCAACAGAGACGGTGGACTCTTACAATTCAGTCTACAGTTTTATGCCATATTTCGACTTTAATGGAGACTGTAACGATCCCAACATACAGGTAGCAGTAAAGGGCAATTTCCTGAGTCTCATGAACAGTGGCTTCATATTTCCTCTGTTTTGCACGGCCAAACCCTCTGAGTGCAACATAAATACAGTACAAGCCTATTGTGGCGATGTAACTACTGAGAAAAGAAGACGCAAACGTATTGCTGTCAAATTGGTATGAATAACTCTCCCATGTTAGGCCCATCTTAAAGTTATCAGGCAAGGCTTGCATTTGCTTGTCAAATAAGGCCCATACCAAAAAAAATTTCCTGCCACTTCAGGAGAATACATATAGTCACAAATGATTAATGCTAGCCCCTATGCATGTCTACCTCAAGCGTTTCTTTTTTGTCTAGAAAACTTTGATTGAAAACTTAAATTGCTATTACCATTGCGACGATCATATCTTCATTTAGAACTTTGACCATTTAATAGCCGGGACTTTCCAACTACATTAAAGGAGGAAAGTCGAACAAACTAAAAAAAAGAAACAATTACTGCAGTCACGCGCCGTCTAGTCTAGTAAAGACCTTTAGGTTCTAAGAGACCGACCATTTGACTTTTGAGGCGGGGTATGTGTGATTTGGTTGGTGTAAAAAAAAAATTCCCAAACCTATGGTTTCCTGACATACAACGATGTAAGATTTTTTTCCAGCATTAAACGCTATGAAAAAATTTTCTCTCTCGAAATCAGTCTATATACAGGATATTATTTTCGGACATCGACC